CACCAAGACAGAGCCTGCAAAACAAGGAAAAGACAACTTTTAGAATATATAATCTACAAGTTCCTAGTTCGTTTAAGTCATGGAATTAGCAGGGCGACAGAATCCACAAAGAGATTCAGCAAAACCACAAAGGATAAAGAAATTTGTTTCATAACAGAAGCTTGATTTGATAATACAAAGTACAGAAGTTTTACCGGCAAAATTCAAATTTGCAGGGTGGAGTGCAAGTCATGTGCATACAACCTTCGTTCTTTTCAATTGGACGCTTGCACTTGGGACAAGGTTTGGAATTGGCCAATATCCTAAAAATGACAAAATCAATATAAGTATGGTGCAGCAGTAAGACACCTAAATGCCCAACATTTTGTAAAATTATATCCATTCACTTGAAGAAATAAGTCAGTATTTGGTGCTTCAAAAAATACCATCCACATCCTAATGATCAGAAGTATGTATAATTTGCCTTTGTTGAAATAACGCACCTAGCATTTTCACACTTTATACAGAAACAATATGCAAGTAGAACTCGAAATTTCACTATTTAAGCTAATAAGCAACAGATGAAGCCAATAGTTGTTCAGATGACCCAGAAGTTGGAAGTTCAAAAATGGAAAATCTTAAGGTGAACGCACATTGAGGATTTGCTAAATTTCAACAATATAACATTTAAATATTTATGTGGCGTCACGAACCGATTTCGCTTTAAATTGGTTTTGCTGACAGAAGATATGAGGGAAACCTTCAAAACACATTATAAAATATTATTAAATCATTTAAAACAATTCATCTGCCTAAGAAAATACTCTACCAATTCATGTTTTCTGACTCGGCACTGTTCTTCAAAATCCACTTGGCCACTGTTTCACAGTCCACCGGACGATGAGCTTCTTCTGTACACTGATAAACTAGCTCATAATACTCAACACAAGGAAGTTACATCAACACAAAAACAAGAGGACAATATCATACAGCCCAACTTACATTCCAACAGAAGCTATACGAACAGCTGCAAGTGACATCATAGTTTCCACTCCCAACATCATATTCAATCGCACAATCACAACCGGGAGCAGGACACCACTTCGTCTGTCAATGAGCATGCGACAAAGTTAATCAGTCACTCAAGTTAGCGCAGACTAAGAAATGACCGAGGAAAACAAGCACATTAGAATAATTGTACAATCTTCAAGCCGTGATGACAGATCCTACAAAGTTATAGCAGCTGGAAGTGAAGATACTAGCTCATACACAGTCTTGATTCTTGAAGCAAAGATTGGTTAGTGTGCTCACTAAAGAACCAATTTTCTTTAAATAAGATGGATCTCTGAAGGTCACATTGAATATGAAATATCCTAAAACTCCTATGCACACCTAAGTTGCTCGGACTCGGGTACGGGCATCGGGTACGGGTACATATTTAAGTGTCGGATCTTTTATTTTTTAAAATGGAGGATACGGGGACATGGCTAAAAAGAGTCCAAATTTCGGACACGGATATGTGGGTACGTCTTTGAAACTTCAATTAATTTTTTTTTTTTTTCCAAAAACATCATATGTGAAATTAATCAAAAATATTATTTGATTATTTGTATTTTGTCAAGTTTTGTAAAAAATATTAATTTCAAAAAATGCTATTGAATTGTTCTANTTTTGTAACAACATTAATCATGATATTTTTTTAAACCAAAATGATCTTATCTAGATCAAAAGAATCAAAAGCATAATTAAGAAATAATAAACATTGTGTAATTTGCTTAATCAATAAAGCTGTAAAATTCGAAGAAAAAGATAAATAAATCCAACAAATAAGGCTGTAAGACTGTAAATATACTTCAACCACAATGGATAAATTTTTTTTTAAACAAAAAAAAGAAAAAAACAAAAGCAATGTTCTAAAAAAATTAAAAAAATAGCAATGTTTTAAAGCCCAAGCCCCAAAACTTAAAACAAAAATCAGGCCCAGTCCAACACCCCTCCTCCTTCTTCCCGACTTCTGGCTCTGCAATGGCGATTCTGGTAGCCGCCTCCTCCTCCTCCTCCTCCTTCCCTACGCGACTTCTAGCTCTGCAACAAATGGCAATTCTGGCAGTAGTTCAATAGGTTCCGCCGCTGATCGTGTCTGGTTGAAATTTTCTGCGTTCGACCCGTATTTCTTACCCATACCCTTGTCGTGTCGACACGGGTATGCCGACCAAAAAGAAGGGTCCGAGCATCACAGATGCACACATCTCTGAATGCATACACATAATCATGCGTGTATAAAATCAGACAATGGCAAGAAAGCTCGCTGAGTTAGAGTCATTTTATACAATAAAATCAAGGGGTCAATTCATCAAGTACCTAGCGGTGAATTTTTAAGTCAAGTTCAATAACCAAAAAGAGTACACAATCTTGTTTCACCTTTATTATGTACTGAATTATATTACCTAGAATTAACTAAAATGTTTCTGACAACTAGAATGGAGGATTTGGAAAAACTCTACCCACCTCTCGGCTGTCTTCAACAAAAGATCTTAGAAGGTAATGACGATACTTCTCCTTATCTTCATCAGACGCCAACATATCAATCATATCTTGGCCAATAGCAGCACCACAAGATGGACTAGGACACCTCAGCGTCAAGCATCCAGGGCCATCATTGATGGATGTGCTAACGTAAGCTACAAGAACAAAAAGAAAAAGTTATCATCCTTACCAATGTACCAAAGAAATACATACACGGACTGAAACATGATTTTCCAAAAAAGTACAAAACAGACACTTTTAAGAAACGTAGATTAAACAATATTGCTTATTAATATTTTTTTGGTTCTTTGAATTCTGAGGAAGATGAACAATTTTTGGGTCTTTTGCGGTTTGGTATGAAAACGTATCTTTTAGGTTATGTTAGACGTTAGCATAAGCGTCCGTTCACATCAAGCAATAAATACCGATTTGCACATTTCCAACATAATTTAGAGGTTACTAAAGGGTCTTTTATACCTTTTGAATGGTTATGAAAACATTTTTTCAACAGCATGCTTTTACAATGGTTTTATCTTTTCACTGCCTCATCCTGAGCAACGCCGTTGTGTCTTCTTCCAAATTCGAGGCTTCTCCTCTTCTCGCGTGGATAAATCTTAAGACATCATCACCAAAACCCATCTCCGCTATTTCATTAAAAGGCTAGTTTCTTTGGGGTATTTTTAATCCTTTTAGTTTCAGTTATCAGTAGTTAGTTCATCACTTCATCCTTTTCCATTTTAAAGTAGATTTGCGTGTGTATATGGAACCAAAAACAAAAATAGTAAAAACAGACAAGCCAACTGGCAATTCTAATGCTTAAAACACTAACACTCCTCGGTGGGACGTAGACACTTCTTATCAAATGTACAAACTTTTTTTACTATAGTGGTGTGAGCTACTCACCTACCATGTTGACTGATAAATGTATTACTTCTACGCATTTCTGCCTTCATCAGATTATTAATGTACTTCAAGAACAAATAAATAAATAAGACAATGTTTAAAGTATTCCACATGCCTTCAGTAGGCCTGGGCAAAAAAACCGTCAAACCGCCCAAACCGAACCGGTTCAGTCCGGTCCGATTTGGCATAGTCAAATGGTTTGGTTTGGTTTGGTTTGGTTTGGTTTGTTTTGTTTTGAACAAAACCGTGTTGGTTTGGCTTGGTTCATGGTTTGAATATCAAAACCGGTGGGTAACCGTCCAAACCACTATAACTTATCTTTTTTTTGAAAAAAAAGGAACTCGGAGATAGTCGGAAATGGTAACCTTCCTTAAATCTCTCCAACTCCAAATCTCCAATTGATCCCCAATTCCTTATTCCTCTCCAATCTCTCCCGTTGCAATCCAAACCCTATCTCACAATTTTTTTCCCGCTGCTACGCCTGAAATCGCCGCCGCATCTACGTGTCTACGAATTGCCAGTTTCGAATTTCCATCCTCTGGTGCCTAAGCCTGACCGTTCCATTTCCAGACTCCCCAAATCGTCGGATTCAGGTTGTGGATAAATTTGATTTACTTAATCTGCCTCTATGCCGCTCAATTGTTTGTTCATTTGTGTTTTAACTCTTGCTGCAGCAAAATTCATAGAATTCTTTTGTTCTCTGTTTTCTCAGGTTTTAGCCCTTTTCCTCCTGAATTGTTAAGGTACAATTGTATTCTAAGTAATTTGTTGTTATTCTGTCTGACTGCAGAGGCCTTTTTTTTCGTTTTCTGCTCATTGAGCTCTTGATATCATCAAATTCGATAATGGGAGTATCTTTAGCACTTTGTTATGACCATGAAAGTACTTAATAAAGATTCGCTTTGATTTGAATGGTCTCCATCTTTATGCTTTCGTATTTAGTTATTTCAGCATTTGAGATACTTTTTACTAATTTAATTCCCTCATTTGATACCTAAAAAACATTCTTAATGTAATATTAAGTTCAAATACATAATTTACTTCTATTGAACATACTTAATGACTTTTCATTGTGCAGTATTGAATCAAAGGGCATTTATTAAGATGTTATTATTCATTTCGACACTTTTGCTGCATTAGTTGTTATCAGAGACCGGTCTACAATGACTACTTTGTTGAATGCATCCAAAACAATTAAACTATTATTCTATTGAACCTTTATAAGTAGGCTCTGATATATGTAATTTTAAATCTGTCATTCCACTATCATTTGCCTTGAAAACTGAAATCTGAGTTTTGTTGTAATACATGTACTGCATGTTTGAATATGGATATTGACAATGAGTGTGAATACATTGGTGGAACCCCGGCAACATCAAAAGCAGGTACAAATAAATCGAATCTTCCTCCACTTCCACCATCATGTTTAGGGAAGAGAAAACATAATAAGAAAACTACGGATGTGTGGGATCATTTCACGATAATGGGAGAACCAAAAGTAGAAGATGTTAGGTGTGAGTGTAAATACTGTGGGCAATCTTATGCCTATGGGGCTAAGAAGTATGGGACAAGTACTTTTAGGACTCATTTGGTTAAACATTGTAAAAATATCTTGGACGGGTGGATAACAAAAGGCAAAAAACATTAAGTTTTGATAAACAACCTGATGGTGGTGGGACCAACCTTCTATCTATTGGGTTTAGTAAGGATGCGTGTAGATTGGCATATGCAAAAATGGTGGTTGTCGATGAACTACCTTTTAGCTTTGTTGAAGGGGGGGATTTAAACACTTTTGTAGTGTAACCTGTCCTAAATTTGATACTCCATCGCGTAGGACTATTGTCAGGGATATTTACCAACTATATTTGAATGAGAAATTAGAGTTAAGAAAGAATCTTACTACTCAACGTCAAAGAGTTTCACTCACTACAGACACTTGGACATCCATTCAAAATATAAATTATACGTCTCTTATGGCTCATTACGTCGACTCTAATTGGATGCTTAAGAAAAAAAATTTAAATTTTTGTGTGACAACTAATCACAAGGGTGAAACTATTGGCAAGGTTATAGAAAGTTGCTTGCAAGAGTGGGGCCTTGATAAGGTGTTTACAATCACAGTGGACAATGCTAGTACAAATGAAACGGCTATTTCTTATCTTAGAAGGAAGATGATTGGTTGGGGTAATGATGAGTGTGTTTTGGAAGGTAGATATTTGCACATGAGATGTTGTGCACGTATTGTTAACTTGATTGTGTGTGAGGGGTTGAAGGAAGCACGTGATTCAATAGTTAGTATTCGTAATGCAGTGAAGTATGTGAAATCCTTGCCTGCTAGATATGAAAAATTGAAGGTGTGCAATTAAAGAAAAGATTGAATCAAAATCGCTTGTATTTCTGGATATGCCTACAAGGTGGAATTCTACCTATTTGATGTTGGAGGCCGCTTTGAAGTACCAAAAACCTTTTGAGCGCTTAGAAGAGGAGGATGGACATTACTTAAGTTATTTCCGAGAAGATGATGGTGGTAGAACAAGAGGTGGACCTCCTTCAGTAATTGATAGGAAAATGCATCTATTTTTGTCAAATTCCTTAATGGCTTTTATGATGTCACTTTAAAGTTTTGTACTTCGTTACATGTTAGCTCCACAATTTATCTTCATGAAGTACGTTCACTTGTAGGCTGTAGCAGATTTGGTAGATTGGAGTATAAGTGAAAATTATCTTTTAGGTGAAATGACTACTAATATGAAGAGAAAATTTGACAAATATTGGGGGAATATGGACAATGTCAATCAAATATTATTGATTGCTACCGTACTTGATCCAAGATATAAATTAGATTATGTTCATTATTGTTTTTGTGATATTTATAATGATAGAAATTTGGCTAGTACAATGACCCAAACATTGAAGGAAATTTTGTTTACTACTTATGATTGGTATGTGAAGTATGAGGCAAGTCCTGAAACCAGTCAAGTATTGATGGATACAATTGCAAGTGGGTTTTCTTCTGCAAGTCAAGTCAGTTCCACTTCTAGTGCATCTTTTGTTCGTATTTCCAAGTTTAAGGAACAACGAGTAGCAAAATATTCAGTTGAGATAAAAAATGATGTGGAAAGATATTTATTGGATGCTTGTGAAGATATAGAGAATAAGGGTTTTGATGTCCTTGATTGGTGGAAGGCACATGGAAGTAAGTATAGAATCTTGTCCAAACTTGCAAAAGATGTGTTGGCAATTCAAGTGTCTACGGTGGCTTCAAAAAGTGCTTTTAGTACGGGAGGAAGAATTCTAGACCCCTTTCGTAGTTCTTTAACTGCTAGGA